CCCCCCCCCCCCCCCCCCCCCGGTGAAGTCGGGAAATGTTGTGGGAAAGCAATCCCGTGTCATGAACGCAATGAATGCCTTCACGATCACCGCCACCGTTCCAGAGGGATGCACTCTTATTCTACACCCCGGACAGCATTGCTTCCCGTCGAGCGTGTTTGTAGCGCCACGCGTTGCTGGAGAGTCGACATTATGCCCAAGGATAACCGGTCCATCTGTGTCAGCGAGACCGATGGGCAAACGACTATTTTTACATGCATACAAGCTTGTCCATCCATCAAGGCCCTCGTGTGTGTGTTTCCCAACACGTTTCTATCGAGAGCCACCGCGAGCCGATTTTCACTCCGCAAGTATGCAATGGGGGCAACCTCTCGACGAATCATGTGGACAGCCGCCATTCTGTATCGACAATTTTTTTTTGCATTGAGTGGTCGCCACCTCTTTCACGTGCGTACGGCAAGCGAGGAAGCCCTGGTCTCATTTCCGGAACGGTTCAGAGTGTCGGAAACGAAACGTCAGAATGCGTCCTGCTACCTACACCACGGGATATGAAGCGGGCAGGTACCCGACACGGGGAGATTCGGCCATTAATTGCCATCTGCAACAACAAAGACGGTGGCATTCGTACTCTAGGACCGGATTCAATAAACATAAGCAAGCCCATTAGCATTTTTTGTTGCTCGCAACAGATCACCAGACCAAAAAAAAATACCCCCAGAGTGTGATATAACGAGAAGCAGAGATGGAGGGGGCGCGAAGAGAGAGACAGCAAACACGTACATACGCCTCGATACCAACGTCGAAGGACAAAAATATACCGTACCAATCGCAGATCCCGACAGTTGGTGCCCCGCACTTGAGAACTTGGCCTTACGAACGGCTGCTCCGTCAAGTCAAAAATCGTGAAATGCACTTGAGCCTGTTAGCCGCTTTTGGGGATACCCCTATCATACGAGAGAAAATAAGAAGACCACATACACACAAGAAGACAAGAACGAGCCTCGGTTAAAATAGGAGGTTCTGAAACTGGCGACGCAAACTGAAGCAGCGGTTTGCTAAATAGTGAACATCCCGCACGCGACGACCAATTGCAGCCCCTGTTACGATGTCCCCGCATCAAGAGCACTCGCAAGAGGAGAAAATACAGTACCTCTTAAGCAATCCTCCTCCGAGTTGGTGCTTGAATCTACCCCTGCCGCGGTTTATCTTGAAAGCAAAACCTCAAGGAGTCCATCCGCAAAGCGCCTTGGGCTGTCGTTGTAGTTGTTGTCTTCACACTAAAACCCGTTCGGTCTCTGCTCAGAATTCCCGTACTGGTCCAACTGACGCAAACGCCTTCCGTCATCACAAGCCAAAGCCAACTGCTTACCCAACGAGGACTATGTACAACCTTTCAAGAATGAAAAAAAAAAAAATGGACCCGCTGCCGGTTTAAAACCTTGGTGACCCTCTCGGGGGGGGGCTACCCCGTATCACGACACGGTTGGTTCTACCAAGGGGCCGGCAAGCACTGTGCTACAACTTCTCTCTCGGCACAGTAGGAGATGCGCATCAACAATCAATACAGTGGGGGGGGGGCTGTATAATGCCGGTTCCCAGAGAGCTGACGGCGGCACTACACCGGCCATATTCACAGCACAGGAATGACTGAATCACTTAGCAATTCAGTGTGTGCGGCCGCCGAATAAACCGGCAGTAGTATTTCGGGCACCAGCACTAACACAAAACAATGTCCCCCAAATGTACGCGGTACGTCCTGCCGTGCGTGCGCTCACCCGATGACGCGACTCGCAAAAAGAATCAACAATTATCACGCTTTTGTACATACCTTATACATATCAACCCACGGTTGTGTATCCCGTTATAGATGCACCCGACGGACAAAGTTACCCGCCATGGAGCCATCTCTGAATGAACTAGTCTAGTGGCGTCGAATAAACAATCCACGGTATTCCGTAACCAGATAGACCCGACAGACAACGTTAACCCGGCAGCGAAGAAGGCGAATTTTCCGCCGACGTTCATGGGTAGCCATTGGCACGTTGCACCCCGCGTCGGCAACACCACAAACCGAAACATCATCCACCACAGCCCAAACCCCAAAAAACTCAGCACGATCAGATTCAGCGAGCATCTCGGCAGCAACAATCCGGGAAAAAACCGGACCACATTTTTACGCGATGCAATCACGTGCAAAAAAGGTAAATCGCCGCCGAGATGAAGCGGGCCGCAGAATGCAGACACAAACACGGCCGTTAAAAAGGCAACAGCGCGGATTCCCTGCGACATCAATCCTCCCTCCTCGAACAAGCCAAAAAACTCCATCCCTCACTCAAACATGTAGCAGTGGTATCCTGCAATAAATTTTAGACTAAAACAGTTAGTGAAGTTAGTGAAAGACGTCATCCTCCGTCGAAGCCGAAAAATCCTATACAGTACCCTCACACGAACAATTATCGTAGTAGCGGTATCCTGTTGTCATGGACTGCTACTTTGAAGTAAATCGCAGAAGCATTGAAGGATCCCACCGTCACACGATTGACTATGAGCGGTATCCTGTACTAGGCTACACTACAGTAGTAGTTTGCAAAAAGAAACCAACACTCGGTGAATGAGGGCAACAACAAGTAGGACTTCCCGCCTGTTCACCCTAAATACGGGAAAAAAAAAATAGAAACATACATATGCCAAGGGCCGGCCTTCAACCGGTCCAAACGACGATCCATACATATCCGAATAAACGACTAGACATCACGTCTAACATGAACAGTATTACATAATATTGACTACAGTGGGGTCCCCCTCCAAAACGGCGGAGGTGGGGCAGCTGACAATGACCGCCTCATATGCATATGGGGCAGCCGCGTTATTCAACGTGTCGAATAACTTGATTCTTCCGTCAATGCCAGCCAATTTCACCCGCCATACATAGGGCGACCGCTTTATTCCGGCACCTGCACTGAAATAGTATTTACATAGCACTGGCACCCGTGGCCAAAAGGCTATGCCCCCCCCAACCCGCCGCGTTACAGCAGTACCTCCTTCGCCGCAGCCGCAACACGGACAAAACACGGTGCAAAAAAAGTGATAGTTTTCATCACCAGCCCGTGAACAATCAATAACTGAATACCTCCAAAACGGACAACCAGCAACTAGAAAGGTGAAGGTGGCACATAGCAACTCCCCACAAGTCCCTGGACATCCTCAATGAGCTGCATCGGCCCAAAACTGTAAAGTTACCCTCCAAAACAAGCAACAAAACATGGGATGAAAGTATGTATGCATAGCACATCGCAACTCCAAGCCATCTTGACACCCTCCATGGGCTGCATCAGCCAAAACCGCCTCCAAAACAAGCAACAAAAAACGGGAGAACGTGGCACATCGCAACTCCCAAGTCCCTCTCGCCCTCTATGCGCAGCAGCATCGACCAAAACGCCAAGGAAACATGGCGGAACACCCCGCTAATCGCCCCCGGCAAACCTTTGCCTTGTTAAATTACTCATCCTGCAGCCCCCCGCAATCCACAGCTATTGTAGCTGCACATGCAAAGGGTGTGCCGCCTAGCGCGGGAAAGCCAAGGTGTATTCACACGGCTTCGTCGCCGACGGTTGCTGCGCCGGCGGCGGGGGCGGAGGAGCCTAACCATTCGGCATTGCTGTCGGCGCTTGTGGTGGTAGCGTTGGTGCCACCGGCGCCGCCGATCTCGTCGTTGTCGGAGCCGTTTCGAGGCTCCGACGGGGGCAGGAGGCTGGACTTGCACAGGGGGCACCAGGAGTGGCCGGGGCCATCCAACCAGGCGTCGATGCACTGTGCATGCAGTCATAAGGAAGGCAACGGGAACAAGAGCAGCGGAGAATCAGGATGCATACCACGTCAAGTTGGTCCAAGCAGGCATCGACGCACTGCTGTGCATGCAGTCAGAAGGTATAGAGAAGACAACAAAGGGCTGCATTCAAATCAAACGAAAACTCACCCAAACACGCCGCGATACACTTGTGAAGGGAGGGAAACAAGCGGGGGCAGCAGAAGATCAAGAAAGTGAACTCGCCCAAATACAAAGCGATGTACTACTGTGTATGCAGTAAGATGGAAGGCAAGAAAGCAAGTGGGGGCAGCAGAGAATCCGTCCGATATCTCACCCAAACAAGCAGCGACTACACTGTTCTTGTAGTCAGAAGTACCGTAGTTGTGCGTGTTTTCGCACCCCCGGGTTAGCGTTTTTCTATATAGCGTATTTCTCCACAACCAGGGAGGTATCACCTCCGAAAAGGGTGGTTTTGGAAACATCTC